TAGGGTTTAGGGTTAGGGAGTTCTGATCCGCTCCGGGTTGGGTCTATACTTACAGTAACAGTCCCTTCAAGACGAGGCCCCTAATGTCTCTGCTCTAGTCTAGCCACTTGTGGTACCTGTTAAAACGTGGGACAGGCTCTAACACAGGCGGCTCAGTTCGGAAAGGGTGCGTCTGAGACTACACTTACAAACCCTAACTCAGGGGCTGAGTAGGTAATCTTTNNCTTTAACCTTTTGGGGCTTTATGATCCTACTATAATTCAGAACGTTAACCTTTTTTGGGCTAGGGTACTCAGCCCCTAAGCTAACAGCCTTAAGCCTTACAAGCCGTAAACCTTACAGTCTTCAATCCTCAACCCCTCCGCGGAAGCCGTGGAAACGAGATCAGCTCTGATCCTCACTGCCAACCCTTAAGCCCTGACTTTCCGACTTTCCGACCCCAAAACCCCAAGATTGGGTCCAGAATTTAGGGGTTCAGGGTAATTTCAATGTCTTGACCTTAAGCCCCGAACCCTTCACCCGTTTTCTACTTCAGCACACCCGGAGGCAGAAAGCACGCCAACTCTCAAAGAATCATCAAACAGAACCGGAACCACACTGAGCAAGGGAAATCCTTATAGATCTCAAGAAGCCAGCCGTCAAAAGTCCCAAACCCTGAACCCCAAACCAGTGGCCCTCAGCCCTAAACCCTACACCCCTTCTTTTGTAAGTAGCAATCTTGCAAAACCCGGTAACGATGCTCTAGACCCAGAGAGCAAGACGCCCTCTGGTTATTGTATTTTACACTCCCTCAAAAACTATGTGGGGCTGTCGCAACTGGAGCCTGTAACGACCTGTACTATGGCAGTTAAAACCCTTCTGAAAGCCCGGCGACTCTAAAACAACCCAGGCAAAGCATTGCAACACCCTGCCCCTAAACCCTACTTGGAGGTTCAGGGGTAGTTATAGTTATAAGTGGGGTAACTATAGTTATAACCCATATTAGGGGACTTATAACTCCATTTATAACTACCCATGAACCTCCAAGTAAACTCAATGGGGGGAAGCCAGGGCATCCTGCTGCGATGCTACTCCCAAAACATCGACAGTCTCGAATGTCGAGCTGGGCTGCCAGCAGAGAAGCTAGCACCTCGATTCTTCAGACTGAAACCACCCCACTTAAATCCTATAACCCCTAAACGCAGCTTCGGGGCCATTGGGTTTTGGATTTCAGGGTTTCTGCGGTTTGAATTTCAGTTCCGCGGTCCGTGTTAGGAGGAGTTAGGTGGTTCTTCAAGGTGTTCAGGTCGGTTAAAGGTTCTTCGGTTTGAGGTTGAAAGTTCAGCGTCAGGGATGCTGCTGTGTTTTCTCGAGGTTTGGTAGATTGCGTTTTCTTGCAGGCCTTCTATGATGATTGCAATCGCTCTCTGTTGCGCTTTGCTGGCAAGGTCTGCATCGTCCTGACGATACATGACAGCCCTCCCAACACGCAACCAAAACCCTCAGCCTAAACCTTAATCCTTGAGTGCTCTAAGATAGGTGTATTGCTGAATTCATGGGTATTTGGGCTCTCTGGGGAACCTGTAAATCCCAATCAGAAACTTCCGTGACAAGGTTTAAACGCGTTAGATATAGAAGCCTAAATAATTATCAATACTACTGTTAGGGTTCCTTATTCTAAATATATACTGCAAAGGAGCCCAAAACCCCAATTGATTATTAAGGCCCTTAAAAGTTGGCACCGGCAGATTGGATTCCCGAACTTGTGATCTTGGACCTGCTCGAATTATCTGCGCATCTTCGATCGTCCGCACATCCTGTCGCAGTGTCGCTGCGAGGGTTTTGCAGTGAATCTGCCGGTGGCGACATTAGTGAAGTTAGTCCTGACCTTTCGTGGGTTGCTTTCTGGATTGAGCCTTAAGAGCACTGCGAACGCCAACCTGCAGTCCAAAGCCGCAAAACCACAACAAAAGTCAGCCCTAAACCTGCGAACTCCGAAACTCACCAAATCCATACTAAGAGGGTTTAGGGTTTAGGGTTTACATATTACCATCGGGTTCACAGTTGCTGCTCCTGCCGACTGCTTGGTTTATGATTCGCGATTGCTCTCACTCTTGCCATTGTTGATCTCAGTATAGTGCCGTCAAGAAGCACCACTGAGGTGGCAGCCCATGGTAATTTCGATGCTGCGCACGTCATCGACACGGAGCCAGAGGTATTGGTCGCCGCTCAGCACTCGTATACTCGATCAAAATGTCCGGTTTGATAGTTTCTCCATGTGAGCTACGTGACTACGGTCACATGGGGGATGAAGGCCTTATTTCGGAGGGACAGAATTCCACTAGGGCCTGGGGCTGAAAAGGTAAGATGAACAGTAGCAAGTTGCACAAGCCCCGAAGGCTGTCCCTAGATCCGGCACACGACATCGCAAAGCAGCAAGCGGGGTGTCAGATTCCATGATCACGGTAACAAGGGTTTAGGGTTTAGGGTTTTAGCTTCCGTAGGCCTTCAGCAGACATCTTGGGAGGGGCATTGCAAGAGGTACTGAAGACATAGTTGTTGAAGCCATGTAAGCAAGTCGGTTGATGGATGGCCAGGATCAAGCCAAGCATTTAAGCCAACCAGTTTATACGGTTGGATTTTGGGCATGGGCACAACAGACTCGATTTGGACTTTTGAAAGCGCTTGTTGCGCGAGATGTATCAAGGGAGGGATGGCAAATCAAGCTGAACAGAAATTAATGAAGAATGTCCACGACACTGATTGTCGGGGCTAGTTTTGCTGCCGCACACACCACTTTTTCCAGCAGAAACTAAGATGATACCGGTTCTTGACATAATTCTGATCGTCTTCAGTAAACCTGTCACCGATATTTTGATGGCGGCTGGCATTGCTAGCTACTTTTGCTGATGCTGTGCGTGCTGTCTCCCGGGTATCAAGGCCGCCGTGTCATGTTCCACACCATGAAACGGGACTCGATCTGAAAGCAATACGGGGACTCGAATAGCTGGTGATCGTACTCTGTGAGAACCACAGTAGCATATACCCCCAGAACTCTCTTCGATCTTTCAGGCCCCAAAAAAGGAGACCTTAGCGTCTAAGAGGAACCCTTAAGGGAACCTTCAAGCAGCCCGTAAAGGAAACCTGAGAGGAGCCCTTATTTCACTTTTTGGGTTTCAAGGCCGTTTTTCGGTGTTTAAGGTCTTGGGTTCAGACCGATATGGCAAGGGTTGAAGGGTTTCGGGTTTAGGGGCTTAGGGTTTCGGGGTTTCGGGTTTAGGGGCGTAGAGGTTAAGGGTCTTTTTGGGTATAGGGCCTTAGGGGTTGAGGTTTTAGGGGCAAGGCTCGGGCATCGCAAGTCCCGGCTGAAGGTTGCTAACAATAGGGGCCTAAAGAATTACCAATACTTTTTTGGGGAGGTTCCTTATTATAAATATAGTACAATGGGCCCCAAAGCCCTATTCTAATTATGAATTAAAGCGCCTCCAACAGCTGAGGTGCTAAATATAGGTCTTTGCCCCTATATCCTAAAGACAAACTGCTGGCAGTAGAACCCAACCACAGAGTCCGATATCACATACGTTATTCAACATGCCTTCCCTTGATCTCTTCTAGTTAAGCCGATATGTATTCCGAATGGTCCTTTCTTAGAAGTTCCCGTAGAGCAAACCCCTACAATCCCGTTCGTCAAAGGACATTAACGAGCTCAAAGCGGCTTTGGACAAGGGCGAGGACTTCCTTGACTAAGACTGGTGGTGGTAGTACACCTGTTCCTGCTAAGTAGAAGTCGTCGTCATCGTACTGACAGCCGAAGCTCAAACCCTAAGCCCTAATTTACCACTGCTAGCGCAGGGAGGAGCTTAAAAGCGAGGAAAGCCAGCTTGAGGCGTGACTCGAGCAACCAGGCGCTCAAGTGAAGCAGGCCATCCCAGCCCGTGCTGGGCACAGGTGAATTTGCGTTGCTTTCCACTTGTCCAGCCTGGGTGGATGTCTATCTCGTCGGGCCTTATTTACAAAAAGTTAAACACGAGATAAGAAGGAACTATTTTTCCCTTTCCGTTCTGACTTGGTTTTTGGCGGGAGTAGAACGCCAACTTCGAAACCCCAAACGCTCCCCCAATCGAACACCCTTTATAAATATTAAGAGCAAGAAATCGATCAACAACCTACCCAGAAACCCGAGGCACCCGAAGCAAGCCATAAAACATAACGCCAATTATAGAATCCTTAGGCGCATCCCGCATGATCCCTAAACCCTAAACCCTAAACCCTAAACCCCTAAACCCCTAAACCCTAAACCCCTAAACCCTCAACCCTAAACCCTGAAATCTCAAATCCTGAAGAGGAGGGCTGGCGGCAGCTGAGGGCGGAGAAGGGCGGTCTCGTGAAGCCCAAGATCGTCTTCTTCGGAGAGGCCCAGGGAGACTCCAGGGTTTAGGGTTTGGGGTTTAAGGGTTTAGGGTTAAGGGTTTAGGGTTTAGGTTTAAGGTTTAGGGTTTAGGGTTTAGGGTTTAGAGTTTAGGATGTAGGGTTTAGGGTTTAGGGTTTAGGGTTTAGAGTTTAGGGTTTAGGGTTTAGGGTTTAGGGAAAATGTGCCATGTAAGGAACTACAGTAGAAGCCCAAAAGCTGGAAACCCAATAGCCTCAATCCGCAAAAGTAATGTATAGGGAATCCCAGCACTATTTGTCCTTAATCGTTTCCGTCACGGATCCCTTTCTACACCCTAAAGCCTCAACCCGAAACCATGATTCATAATAATCTCGGGCTCTGCGGCGTGAAGTTGCGCAGGGTATGGGGCTTTCAGGATTTCAGGGCTTCGATTTTGTGGGGTCGAGTCCTCGTGCCTAGCTTCTGGTCTTTAGAGCTTTAAGAGCTTTAAGCTGTGGGGTTTCGATTTAAGTTTTAGAAAACACTGACGTGGTATTTCGGTTAGTGGTTGGGTGTGGCCGGGAGCTTTTGCATGCCCCTTCGTTCCTGCATTGACCCTGTTCGAAGACAGGAGCTGCCCGAGAGGTTCGCCCAACTTCACAGAAGGGATCTGGCCGCCTGCGATCTGCTCATCGTCATGGGAACTTCCCTGGCTTCTCGCACTCACAAATCTTCGCGGTTGAAGCCCTTTCCAAGCCTTGAGTGCCCATGAGGTTTCCAGACATTCATTGAGGAGTTTACGTTGAACCACAGGAGTCTGACTTAAACGGTTTAGGGTTTAGGGTGATAAACCCTAAACCCTAAAGATAGAGTGATATAGTCCTTGCTTTCCTTGCTTAAGGGGTATTGCGCTCTTGCCCTTTGCAGCTTCGAGACTTGGGCCCCAAGGGTTTAGGGTTTAGGGTTTAGGGTTTAGGGTTGACAAGATTTGATTCGTTAGCTAGTCGGTGGTTGAACCTCATTGTCATACAGCACCTATAGTCTCCAATGGAAGTCATTACTTTGGTTAGCCAAGATGGTGAGGATCCTATACTATAGAAGCCGCTTAACCAAGAAAGCGAATGGCATTGGAGGCTGTGGTTAAATCCGAAATCCTGGAAACCTTGGCGCTTTTCCCGAGCCCACCCTAAAACCTTCAAGACATCTCAAGCCTAAAACTAACCCCTAAACCCTAAACCCTAAAGCCCTAAACCATAATCCCTAAAGCCGACCCACACCCCTACTCTCGACTTCCGAAAGCTCTGGCTATCACGAAGTTGGCTCTACTTCGCTCTAGTCGTCCCGCCCCAAGAACCCATATCTGGGAAGCTCTTCGGGACATTTAACTCAGTAAACCCTGATCCCGAAACCCTAAACCCTCAAGCACTAGAACCTCATGGAGGGCAAAGGACCCTGGAGGTCAAGGTTCTGAATGCATAGGCCTTTCCCCCCATGAGGGGCGGTTTAGGGTTTTGGGGTTTTAGAGCTATAGGGCTTTAGGTGTTTAGGGTTCTAGGGTCTTACAGGATCTCGACGTCCCTGGGCTGATCCCCACACACCAAAATCTCACCTAAACCCTAAACCCTAAACCTCAAGGTAGTGCATCCTTTCGCGGGCCTCGTGGGCTACACCGGCCGATCGGCCCCACGAATGCTGATCAACCGCGATCCTGCGGGCACCTGCGATGAGCTCCGGATGGGCTTTCGATTCCATCTTGCGGCCCGGACATTGGGTCTAGGGGTTTAGGGGTTTAGGGTTTAGGGGTTTAGGGGTTTAGGGTTTAGGGTTTAGGGGTTTGGGTTTAGGGGTTTTAGGAGTTTAGGGTTTAGGGTTTAGGGTCTGTCGGGTTGGTGTTTATCTAGGTTCCCCAGGGTATTATTAAGGGGCTACTCCTAGTGATTTTGGGCTCTGGCTCTCTGGCCTACCTGGTAGTTCATGGGCGGGGCTATAAGTCACCAGATACTTTGGGTTATAGTTATGGCTACCCTACTTATAGCCCCACTTGTAGCTACCCATGAACCTCCAGGTATGGGTTTCGGAGGGTCTGGTTGCAGCTTCTTGAACTTTAAACCCCTAAACCCCCAAACCC